GCACTTGTTTCTACTAGCTTCTTGTTACTACTAGTAAGGCACTTGTTACTAGTAGCGATGCCAGGAGCCCCTAGTAGCGTCCTTGCTCCGTTCGTAGAAATGCCCTTGTTACTAGTAGCTTCTTGCTACTAGTAGTAATGCCAGGAGCGCCCCTAGTAGCGTCCTTGCTCCCAAGAAGAGCTTGGCTTTGTTGGGCCATCGCGACCGCGGAAAGCGAAGGAGAAGCTTGATCTCAAGCGTGACATCCGAGAAACGCAGCTCGAAAATGAGGGGCAAGTGAAGATGCTCATTCAGGCGGATAGACGCCTTTCCCTTCACTTGACATTTTGAGACATTTTCCGTGGCTTCTTTTTAGCGATTTTAGTGTGACGACTGAAATGACTTTCGGCCAGGGCTTCGCCAAGCGCTTGCAGAATCTCCGGGATACCTTTGAGCAGAATCACCAGCAGTTGCAGGTGCTGCAGAAGCACCAGTCGTGCGTTGCCTTTGGCATCGTGAGTTGGAATTTGCTTTTTGGATTCTGCACACTCTCCCCTACACAGATGTCTACGTGGAAACTTGATAGAAACACTTATATAACAGCTATGGCTATTAGCAATTCATTCATTCTTTTCGTTCTATTTTTGCCTTTCTCTCTTCCGGTCTCGATGCTGAAGCTGTCGGCTTCTTGCTTCGAAACGCACACCGACTCTACAGGCTCAATACGAAGAGCAGGTGGAACAGCTGAAGATCGATCTCGAGCTCCGCCGGAAGGTGTGGCCGGAACAGAACAAGCGAACGGGGCCGAGCGTCGGCGGTGCGGAGGCTTATAAGTAAGCTAAACAGTAAGGGAGTAGCTAGTAAGATTCAAGCCTGAGCCTGAATGATCATGGTTCCTCGTTCCTAGATTCTTTTTTGGACTTAACAATACCTTGCTTGCACTTGTCAGAAGTTCCGATTACTTTGCTTCTTGTTGGAAGAACACATTCCCCATTTTTTGAGCTCGCTTGAAACCAAAGAGGGAGGATTTCAATCAATCGTTGACGTCATGAAGCCGAATGTCCAGGTGGAAATCCACGAGATCGAAGAGCGAAAAAACCAGTGCGAAGCTCAACAACAGCAGTTCTGAGAAGTGTACCAAGGATGGCCCTAGGGACAGAAAAGAAAGGTCTAAAGGTCTTTTAACAAAAACATGCGGCGAAAGCAGTGCTTCCAAGTTTAAACAGATCACATAGACATCGACACAAATGCCTCCTGTCAAAGTGGCAGCGGAAGAGCCAGGCACATCAATGAGTTGCACTTCAACCACCAGGAGGCCTTTGATGAGATCAAGGCGATGGGGGTTATCGGGTCTTTTGGGGGATTGACTGCCAACTGGAGGAGGTAGCAAGACACTGGTAGCTAAGGGTAAGACTTGAGCTACCAAGAAACAGGAAGAGACCTGCATTCAAGGACGCAGAAGAACCCTTCGCATGGTGGACGCCGGACACCCTTCGATCTTTTTTGTGAAACTTCAGGCTGCCTTTATGGCTTCGAGCTCTGAATAGTAGCAAGGGGTGATACGAGGACATTCTGGAGCAAGACCGCCGGCACTAAGGTTGTTGTTAGTAAGAGGCACCCAAAACCAGCACCTGTTGATGGCAGAAATCCTGCACCACCTCTCTTAGAATTCCCAGCCTTCACAGTGCTTGTGTATCGCAGGCGGAGCATTTTCTTTTCCAAGTAGAAAGAACAGCCTTTGAAAGTGCCCAAAACGGAACACAGTCCAGAAGAGAAAGGTCAAAGGCCTTGAGACCTAAGGCCCACCTAAGACCATTGAAAGGCATTCCGCCGTAGCGTGTCCTTTCTTGTTTGGAAGACCGCAGTGCCCTGTCTGACAGGATTTGCCGTCCTTTTTTCTGTTTGCCTGTGACTGGTTCCAAGGCCTACTACAATGATATTACCCACGACAACCTCCAGTTGATCAAATCCTTGAAGGACACGACACCTCAGTTGGCTACCTTCAGCCATGCTGCCAAAATTTTGATATGATTCCAAGCACAAGCTTTTGACAACCAAGTCCATGTGCTCATTGCCTACACATTCTTCTCCGAAACTATTCTGAGACCCGCGGATTTGTTTCAAATTTCGCTACTAGGGTGGAGGCCATTCCTATTAGGTGCGGGCATCTACTAGTAGCAAGTGCATCGCTACTAGTAACAAGGGCATCGCTACTAGGAGCAAGGACGCTACTAGGGGCGCTCCTGGCATCGCTACTAGTAACAAGAAGCTTCTAGGTTCTATTGGAATGTGGCAAGAACGGCTGATTTGTTTCAACCGGGCGCAGGATGAGATCAATGAGATGAAGGAGAAGGTGGCCTGCTGAGCGCGTTTCCAGTTCCTACCAGACGCAGACGCGGCAGACGCGGCAGACGCGGCAGACGTGTAATGAGACACTTTGGAGGGAGCTCTTCTAGTTTTGGAAGCAGATCTCCTTGCTTTCGAGGAGAAGACCAATAAGAAGAAGATGGATCTTCTCCGACAGGAACAAGCTTTGTTGCTTTTAAAGCCTTTGTAGCCGAGAAGATATGTGAGCTGAATTTTTCGCAGATTGGAGGTGCACAGTGAAGACATGTGACCATGTGCCAATGTTGCCAGGAAAACAGGGACCTCACTCAGCCCTTAGAGGAGCCTCTACAGACTGAAGTATTCAGACGCAGCTTTGCCACTGCTTAGACAAAGTAGCTGGTCTAAATATCAAGACTATTGCTAGTTAGGAGGCCATTCCAATTAGCAACTCAAAAGAATGTTGCTATTTATCTAAATATAATGAGTTTGGAGGCCATGGCTGGATACCCAATGCTGACAGGACAAGCTGGCAGAACAGAGGGACTTGGAAGAAGAGCTCAAGACGTACACGAAGGACGGTACACACAACGACAACGCCATCGGTTACAACCATCGGTTGTGGATTTGGCCATCCACAAGTGGCTTTGATGCTGCATGCATGGTTTGGAGCATTGTTGTCAGGACAAAATGGCGTTGAAGAATCTAAAGGCGCACTACAAGAGGCTTGAGGCAAGGGAATCATCATCATCATCGGCATGGGCAGCATGATATCTTGGCATTCCATTTGATCGAAACATAGCTTTGGACGATTCGCAGGAGCAGATCTCTGAAGCCAAGCAGGAATACCGCGCCTGCGAGGTCTGCCAAATAACTGCCAGTTGGGGTGTCCATTCTCCAAAGAAAGCCTTCTCGTTATGTTTATTTCACATGTTCCAGGTTGGAGGCCATAGCTAATGGCCATCGCTAAGAACGTCTTCTCATCTTTTTCTTTGGGAGGACAAATACAGAAAGATGGAGAAGGAGCGGGATGTCGAGCCCTCAGCATTTCTCCAGGATTGCTGAAGTGCCTCCACCTGCTCAGCACACTAGAAGCCGACAACCTAGGAACAGTCTTGTGCTGGTGGCCGAACCAAGGACCTGTACAAGCGCTTCAAGAAAGCAGTGCAGGAGATCCAGAGGAAGGCGCTATTTTCACTACTGTCTCTTTCAGTGCGAACACTCTATTGTCAAGGCAAACAGTATGTACAGCAGGTGGCGAACGCACACAGCAAGCTTATCTTACCTTTACTACGGACTCCCAAGGCAGAGCTGGGCAAGAATATGGTCTTGGAAAAGAAGCTCGAGGAATTGGCACAGCAATTCGAAGAGACGCTTGGCAGCGCTGCGGCTTCGAAGAAAGGAATTCGGAACGGATGTCAAAGGTCCACAGGTCTGGCAAAAGACAAGAAAGAAGTTACTAGTAGCGTCCGATCGCTCCGTTCGTAGCAAGGCGAGGAGCCCCGTTCGTAGCTTCTTGTTACTAGTAGCGATGCCAGGAGCCCCTAGTAGCGTCCTTGTTCCTAGTAAAGAAAGAACAAGTTCTAGCGTGTTCTAACTTCTAACCCAAGGTGTTGAGTGTTGAGCCAGTTGAGTTTCGCCCTCTTCCTTTTTCAAGGAAGCAGGCGCAGCTCTCGGAAGTGCTCGGCAACGCCAAGCTGGATCCCAGCATTGTGGCCAACGTCACCAAGAAGCCAACGTCCCAGCGCATTTTCTCCGGAGAACCTTTTCCTCGATATCGGTAGACCTTGACCTTGGTGACCGCAGGTTGGAGCAGGTGCTGGGTGCCAAGAATCGGCAAATCAAGGACCGTCCAGCAGCAGAAGAGAGAGAGAGAGATCTATGTATATATATATATATGATGTATGCAAAGCAAGGACTAAGGCTAAGGTGCTCTTGTTGCAAAAACAGAAGGCGCCTTCTTGTTACACCACACAGCGAGGGGTAGGTCAGTGCAAGTAAGGCAAACTTTTGTTCACGCAGAAGTTGCGAAAGTTTTGCCATTGCCGAGAAGTGCCTAGTAATGAGAGGTAGTTAAGTGTGCTAAAAAGACATCCTTCCTACTTCTCTAGTAGCTTCTTGTTCCTAGTAGTACGGCCAGGAGCTACTAGTAGCGTCCTTGTTCCTAGTAGTAATGCTCTTTGCCACTAATAGCTTCTTGTTCCTGTAGCCATGCCCTTTGTTACTAGTCGCGAAAGTTTTGCCAGGATCTGCAGTACCAGGCATGGGCGACACTGATGGACACTTCTGGACACCTGTACTTTCACAGAAGCTCTGAGTTGTTTGAAACGACATCTCTTTGTCAGAAATCCCAAACCATTGGTATCCGGTAGCTTGACGAGTCAGGTGTTCAACACTTCCTGGTTACTTCTTAGGACACTTGCAAGGTTAGAGGCCATCGCTAGTAGGTTAAACGCTTGCTGGTTGTTGAGGAGCATGACAAACACCTACCTCCGCTTGCTTGTGCCAGGTGCATCAGGCTACCAAGCAATACAACGACACCATCCGCGTTTACGCCCTGCCCACAGTGAAGTTTACATTCAGACCAGTTCCTAGAGAGGCCCTGATTTGTATCGTATTGTAAAGATGGTGTTTTCGCTTGGACTTGGATGCTTGGAGCCCTGATCGTAGCGTCCGATCGCTCCTAGTAGTGCCAGGAGCCCCGTTCGGTTCGCGTCCGTGCTTGGACTTGGACATCCTAGGAAAGCAAGCTGCAAGGGCTGGGTGTCGAGCCAGAGGAGATCGGCTTCGAGGCCGTGGCCAAGTCGTCTTGATCTGGCGTTCAACAGAGTTCTGAAGTGACTCTCTTGTTTTGCCCAAAAGGAAGTCCAAGCTAGACATAATTGACCATTGAAAGCCCAAATCATGGAAGACTGGAGAATACACTAAGTTTGAATTGCTGGAAGGCCATTCAAACGGCCACATCGTTGATGCCAGCCCGGCTGGTCACAAAGGCCCGTGGGCAGCGTTTTTAGACCTGTGAAGACCTGAAAATCGGCAAAAAGAACAGCTCTGCAACTACTTCTGGAGCTACTAGGGGCTCCTGGTATCGCTACTAGGAGCAAGGACGCTACTAGGGGCTCCTGGTCATACTTCTGGATGTTCAGCTGGGAGTTTCGCGGGGAAGGGCAGGGTTTACACACATGGTGCGAGCTTCGCATCCTCAGGTGAGCTGAGGGCAGAGCCAAACTTTTCAGGTGCCCAAGCTGATATGGAGAAGAAAACGTTTCACTTGAGCAAAACTTTGCTCAATTCGTTATGTCTCACGAAGCGGATGATCGCTACTAGGAGCAAGAGGACGCTACTAGTAGCTCCTGGCCTTACTACTAGGAACAAGACCTCACACCAGACCAAACATCATGCTAAGGCTTTGGAAACTGACGTTCCTACGTTCCTCCGCTTGCATGACCCGGGGTGTGTTCGCTGGTTTCACTCATTGAAAGACCAGCCTCGATGATTTCTTCGTGTCACATATTTGTGTTTCAAACATGGCCCAGGATCAAACATTTCCAGGCAGCTTACCATGAATGACCATCTTCCGACTGACCATCTTAGCGTGTTTTCAGCGCTTCCCTTGTTCGGCACCCATGTACAGAGACACGAACAAGACCACCCCGAAGACGGATGTCGTGAAGGAAAAAAAGCAGCCGCCTGGGTCGTCTGGCGTCTCGTCTCAGTTCGCGATCGTGAACGACTTTGAACAGGGTTAGTCAACTGAGTCAATTGGCAAAAAGACATGCACGGCAACTAACTTCTTCTTCTTCTTCTGTTGCTTCTTCGTTTGCACAACTTGGGTTGCTGAGGTGATGGGCGACTTCACCTTCTATGCATACATGGAGCCCAGCTATTCTGCGACCATGATGGCGTCCTATGTCGAGGCTGCGGAACAAAAACGGCTTCGACTGGATTTGTTTGGAGAACAACAAAGAAGGACGTATCCTTTTTTTCATCCCTTGAACCTTTTCTTATTCCTTTCCTCTTTAGACATTCCTTCCCAACTTTTTGTTCATCCCATGCATTGCCTTTGAGTCGGCAAACGAAGCATGCTGAAGGTGGACCCATCCTCGACCCGTTTGGCTGATGGTCAGGACAGGGCCTCAGACTGCTGTGGACCGAAGTCTTGTGGCACTACCGGTGACGAACGGAACGGAGTGCTTGCAGATTAGGTCGTCCTTGCTCCTAGTAGTAAGGCCAGGAGCCCCTAGTAGCGTCCTTGCTCCAAGTAGCTTCTTGTTCCTAGTAGCTTAGTTGCATTGTTGTTTTGCTTTTACATCACATGGGTCCTGAACGCCCCATCTTCTGAAAGAAGATCGACACGTCTCGCAGGTGGTACCCACAGACGGTGGCCGTTTCCAGGATGCCGGGCAGGCGCTTCTCAAAGCGCAAAGCGTCAATAGTCTGACTTCCTTGCTCCTAGTAGCGATGCCCTTTGTTCCTAGTAGCGTCCTTCGCTCCTAGTAGTAAGGCCAGGAGCCCCGTTCGTAGCGTCCGATCGCTCCGTTCGTAGCAAAAACTGCGAAGAACCTGGAAGTTTTCCATGAAGGTTCTCCATGGAGTCCATTTGGCTCTGAACAGGTCTATTTCAACCACGACACCGTCCTGGACCTGAACAGGCAATACATGTCCTTTGTTTTTAAACAGACACGTTTTGTCACGTTTTTTTTGTTAAGTTGTTTTTGTTTCTACTTTGTTTTATATGGTTATTGATTTATGTTGTTTTTGATTAAATGTCCTTCACTTCTACTCCTTTCTCATTTTTATACATTTTCCTTCCGCCAGAGCTCTCCTTCCGTCCCATTTGACTTGTATTTCATCAGGTCCTACAGCTTTAAATTGGCCGATGTGTGAGCCCGGAGACGTCGGAGGCTGTTCGGCTGCCTTGCTTGGAACGACCTCTGGCCCAGGTATTGCGTGGCTCCGATTTGGAACCAGAAATGCCGCCGGGCTTCCGAGATCGGATTGAAAACCATCTCTTCTCAGGGCGTCTCTCAGATCGAGAGCATTTCAACATGTGAACACATCGCTGAGTGAGCTGTTTTGCAGGTGAGCCATGTGGTGCTGACTTCTGGGCCGTGGGGATGCTTCGACTGCAGATTCCGCATGGACGTGAGTTGATCTTTTTTTTTGTGTCATATGACATGTGTACTACTGGTAACAAGAAGCTACCAGTAGCAAGGTGCCTTACTCCTGTTGTGACAGTGGACGGATCTGTGGGAGCGATCCAGTTGTCTAAGGAAGAATTGCTGCTCCGAGGACCCACGTGAGTCCAGTGAGTCGAGAGCAAACGAGAACTTTGAAGTCTCAACTCTCAAAAAGAAGTCCGTTCGTAGCGTCCGATCGCTCCTAGTAGTAAGGCCAGGAGCTGCTAGTAGCGTCCGATCGCTCCTAGTAGCGATGCCCTTCGCTCCCAGTAGCGTCTCAACTCTCAAATGCACCTTTGAGTTTTCCCGGACATAGAATCCAGCACTTGAAGCGCAACAGCTCCATTTTGCATTTTTCCCTGATGGGTCAGAATGGCAACGTCTTTCAATGTGGAGATGCTGGGAGCAAGCGAGCAAAGAGCCAAAAGCTCAGAGCCAAAGTGAAAAGGACGAGCAGGGACAATTTGACCTAGGATCAAGGACGCTACTAGGAGCTCCTGGCCATACTACTAGTAGCAAATAGCTACTAGCAACAAAGGGCATCGCTACTAGGAGCAAGAAGCTACTAGGAGCTCCTGGCAGACGAACATCAGCCAAGGCGGATTAAGACTCATGGAGAGCGCAGACCTTCCATTCTACAGGCATCAACAAGCCCATTTCCTTGGATGATTTGCTTCTTTGCATCCGTAATGCATTCCAGAAGCCACTTGCAGGTTGGCCGTGATACAAGCAGTTGGCAAACATAAGGCAAGGGCTTTGAACAGCTAGCCATTTTGCGTGACAACAACAGAACAATTTGTTCCACCATGTGTCTTTCTGTACTTTTTTCTTTCTTCTTTCGTTGTTCTTATTCATATATCTCTTCTCTTTCTCTTGCAAGAGACCGTCTTTGTTTCAGCTGACGGGCAAAATGTGGCTTCTTGAACAGATGGTCAGCCAGCACCCCATCTTCTTTCACTGGTTGGAGGTGCATAGATCAGTCCAATGCGCATCCGATCCAGCGCATTTTCGGTGTACTTGGTATCTTTGCCGTTTTGACAGTGAAGGCATTTTGACAGTTTTCTTAAGAACGCGTTCTGACTTTTCTCAGAGGGTAGTGACTTCCCAAGCATATCAGTATACGCTACTAGGAACAAGTGCCTTACTAGTAGTAACAAGAAGCTATTAGAAACAAGTGCCACGCTAGTAGTAAGGAAGAAACTGGACAAAACACTACTTGCTTTCCATGACCGCGAGGACCCGGTGGCGGAGCTACATGGCTGGCAGAGGAAGGGCTTCAGGTGCTGGAACAACCAACGCGTTCGTTTGAAACGTGCAACATATGATCCTCAGATGCACTTGTTACTAGTAGCGTCTTGTTACTACTAGTAAGGCACTTGTTACTAGTAGCGATGCACTTGTTACTAGTAGCTTCTTGTTACTAGTAGTAAGATGCACTTGCTACTAGTAGCTATGCCCTTGCTGCTAGTAGCGATGCACTTACCGGATTTTGAGCAATGACTGGATTCATGCCTTCGAGATGCCTTCGAGGCTCTTTGCCATTGCTATGACATCAGCGTTCACGCTGAGCGGTGCTGCGTCCACAACTTTGCCAGATGAGTAATGTGCAAAGAATAAGTAAGCTGGTGGGTCGAACTTGTTTTGCCCTGATTGCCAAAACTTTCACGGATAGGGTAAGTTTAGGGTACGTTTCTGGTGTTTGCTGTCTTTTGTGTTGTTTTGACTTTCAGTCAGCTCATTTTTCAACAGCAGGTACCTTTTCTGTATAATGGCCTTTGCTTTTCTTGCAAGCTAAGTAAAGAGGTCC